GCCACTTCTCATGTGCTAGAGTGCCCCGCATACGAGCTCGTACCCGTCTTTTAGGCCATGCGTGCGTCGTTTTGGCCCTATTTTCAGCCTCCTCGGGTCCTCTTGGCTCTCCACCCTTCTTGTCACAGGGGTACGGAACCCACTTCCGTATCATTCCCCTCCTCTTCGAGACTTTCCTTGTCCTCAAGGATTTATCCTCGACTATCCAAACATCGGGCACATCTTCTTCGATCTCAAATTGGAACGTCGCGTCCCCTTCATCCGTGTTGTTCCGCTTACGCGTCTCGTCATGGCCCTCGTCGACCGCGGCCAAGATCTCACTCTCGACTTCGACCACCTCTCCGTCCGCATCGTACTGCATATGCCTCCTCATCATGGCCCGCTTCGACCGTGACAGGCATCTCCTCTCCGACTGCGAGCACTTCGGATCCTCCGGCCACGACCTTGATGTGTTGCGCGCGCTGTTCCCGTGCGCACGTTTTGCACCCATCACCCACGACCAAGATCGCACCAATGACCTCGGCCCCTTCGACTCCTTCGGCCTCGCCGTCGATGTGCGCCGCTTCACCCTCTTCGTCCACGAGCAAGATCTCTTCCTCGCTGATCTTGAGTTGTCTTTCATAGTCCTCCTTTTGCTCGTACATCTCCTCTAAATAATCTTGTTCCCAAGGGGTTAATTCCCTCTCCAAATTTTCGAGATATTCGAGATCTTCTTGATCCCACTAAACTAATGGCTCGAACAACATTTTTTTTTTTTCCTCTAAAAAAATTCGAACAAAATAGGGGAAAAATTCGAAAAATCGAACCCCCAACAAGACTAAAAAAAATCGAAAGAAAAGAAATTCGGCCCCTCAACAAAAGGTAATAACCGAACAAAAATCAAACAAAGGACTAACAAGATGACACTTTTTTTTTTAAGACACGAAAATATGAAAAATTCGAATATTAATTCGAAAATTTCGAACAAAAAATAACAAAGATTCGGTCCCCTCAGCAAAGAAAAACCGAAAAAAAGAAAAGGATAGGATAAATAAAAACACGATCAGCACCTCTCAATGAAAGCACCAATGATGAAGGACCGCTGATCGGTGTTTTTATTTATACGTTGGGTTGTGAATAAACGGCGCACTCAGGGCCTTCGTTTATCCACGATAGGTGTATCTAGCAGACGCACTCAGGGCCTTCTTCTAGACACTGTGACTTCGAGACGCTCTCAGGGCCTTCTCTCCGACACTGTATGTAAACACGCACTGACGACCTTGTTTATCACACGTTAGAACATAAAGTTCCCCTCAATTGGCTCACCAATTCAATACTCAATTGAACTTGTCAAATATGATGAGGTACATGGGGTATTTATAGGTGCATAAATTAAATCTAAGCCTAAATAAACTAGATCTCCTAACTCTTGCAATAATAGAAATCCTAACACTAGAAAGCAATAAAATCCTACTACTACCCAAAATACTAATGCTTGGCTTGCACACCAAGCAATTCTAGAAGCTCCAAGTCTTCCACACGCCTCAAACCTTCGGCCGCCTCATCGCGCGCGTCGCCCTCATGCCTTGCCCTAGTCCTCGAGGACTAGGGCTGCACCGCCTTCGCCCATGTATGTCCTTTTGCCTCGAGGCTTAAGGTCTCGCGCCCCACATGCGCCATTTCTATTCCTTATAGGACCATGCCTCGAGCCCATATCCACCATTCCTATTCCTACTAGGAATAGACTCTCGGTTACGTTTCCTGATCTTCCAAGGATTACTCCCGTCACCGATCTCCCACGTGCGTTCTGGCACTCAACTGCTTTTCCTATTCCTGCGAGGATTAGTATTCGCACCTTGCCTATTCCTACGAAGATTAGGCTTGCCACCCCGATCTTGACTTGTGCCTCGCGCGTGTCGTCGTGCGCCCCGCGCTCGTCGTCCGGCACGCCCAATGCCCGCGCAT